CCCCAAAACCCCAAAACCCCAAAACCCCAAAACCCCAAAACCCCATTTCTTACAAAATATATTAATAAAAATTATGGAAGAGAAAATCTTAGAGCAGTTTTATCTCCATTTCGATGAGGGGGATATATATGGGGATAACAACATCAGTTACGCTGCTTCCAAAGCTCTTGAAGAATTTGTAATCATGAATGAAGATAAGACTATCCAAGGGTTCATTGAATCGCTCAAGAATATCCAGGCTTACATCATTGAGAACTCCACATCCGGCCACAAATTGCTTAAGAATAGGACGAATCTTACTTTAAGAGCTGTTTGCAATTTCTGATGTAAGTATAAAATTTGGCTGCCTGGTTCTTTGTAGTTTTTTAATTTGGATTTTAGACCATATTTTCACGAAGGAAATTGCTAAGAGAATGGACCAGACCATGGACGAGATTAAAGAGGCTTTGAAGAAGAAAGCCCAGGATTTGTGTAGTCTAGCTGAGATAGCAAAGCAGAAAATTATTAAGTATTCTAAGAAGATTTGGAGAGATGACATGGTCATTCTGACCCATGGTTACTCTAGTATTGTTCTGAAATTGATCACCTCTGCGATTGAGAATGGGTATAACCTTACTGTTTATGTCACGGAGGGAAGGCCAGATAATACAGGAGAGGTTATGGTTAAAGCGTGTCAGAATATTAAACCTCCTGGCGAAGACTCCTCCGTCAGTCCGAAATTAGGCGTTGATGTTAAAATTATTCTTGACTCCTCAGTCGCATCTATTATGTCTAAAGTGGACTATGTGTTCCTTGGAGCAGAAGCTATTGTTGAGAACGGAGGAATTATTAACAAAATAGGTACATTCACAATGGCCCTGTGTGCTAAAGCTCATAAGAAAAAGGTATATGTCTTCACAGAATCTTTGAAATTTCTCAACACATTCCCTTTGGACCAGAGTGACATCTCCAGTGTGGTTCCTGAAATGGAAGATTTTGACAACCTGTTTTCAGATTACACTCCTCCGGAATACATCAATACGTTAATTACGGATTTGGGGATATCTACTCCATATGGGGTTTCAGATGAGCTCATCCAGTTTTTGATTTAATTCTGAATTGTTCAATCCAGCCATTAACTTTTGGGGTTTTGGGGTTTTGGGGTTTTGGGGTTTTGGGGTTTTGGGGTTTTGGGG